ATCGGGCTATGCAGCTTACGGTTTAGGGTTTCAGGTCTCGGTGTTTGGGGGTTAGGAATTAGGGTTTAGGGTCTAGGGTGTTGGGTTTACCATGTTTTTGAAGGACTGTGGGCGCTCCTAGATGTCGACGGGACAGTTCCCTACACCCTAAACCCTGTAATGCTCTTTGTGCGTTGCTTGGCCGAAGAATTCTCTGGGCTCTGATGGGCTGGCATGATGAGCTTCGAAGGTTGGACCGGTGCAAAACCGTAAACCCTAAGCCCGAAACCCCTAAAACCCCAAGCCCCAACTTCACAGGCATTTGAGCGTTCCGAGAGCCCCAAACCCTAAACCCCTTAACCCCAAACCCGAAGTTTGGGATGGAGGGTCATCCTATCTACTCTTCCCAGTTTAAGGTTGAGGGTTTCGCAGTTTCGGGCTCAGGCGCCAGAGCCTGAATGAACCTTAGGGTTTTTGGGGCTGCCGGAAGGCTGAAACGCCCGTGAAGTCGGGGCTCAGTATCTCGGCTTGCACCCATGTGGGTAGTTCTCTAAAGGGGATCAAAAAAAGGACCCTACTTTAGAGAATTACCCATGTGCTAGCAAGGAAAGCTCTGACACGGACATTAAGATCCGGACACGAAAACCCTGTCAAACGTCATCATCGTCATCGCCGTCGTCGCCATCGTCTTCAGGATTGTCATCATCTTCAAAGCCACGACAATTGTCACCATCCAGAAAATCACCTTCTCAAGCAATTGCGGTACACACCACAGGGAGACATGCGAGCTGCTGGACTGCACAAAAATAAGGATGGCACTCGAAGAAGGTTGCACATGGCCGTCGGCTTTTGACTAGGATATTTTTTCCTGGCACACGTCGGGGCTCTTGAAGTCTGCTCCGGCGACTGGTTCCAAAGCTGTTTGCAGATCGACCCCCACCCACATGCGCTAAGTATACATCTCGAACCCACTGGCCTGAAACCCCGTATGCCACGTCAAACCCATCACGCGGTTCCTAGTGCTCTGACATGTTCGTCATCAGTAGCGGAGGAGGGAAACACGGATGCAGATGAACATGGGGGCGAGGATGAGGAAGAAGATGAAGATTACGAGGCTGGCTGCGGCCCATGACTACTGCGACTGTCGATACACCCGCTGTCTGCTATTTGCCACTGGAAGGATTACTCCTCCTCATGCTAGTGCTCGAACAAATACCTTACCTTAGGCTATTCATGGCGATTCCCGGTTTGCTGTACTCACTCTCTACTAAGCTTACCAAATGTCACAGCTTAACAATAATGATGATTCTGCACGAGATCATGATGGTGCCGATGCTGCTACGACTACTACTACTACTACTACTACTACTACTACTACTTCTTCTACTACTACTCCTCCTCCTCCTCCTGCACCTCCTGCTCCTCCTGTTCCTCCGGTTTCTGCTCCTCCCGCTCCTCCTGCTCCGCTGCTCCACCTGCTCCACCTGCTCCACCTGCCCCACCTGCTCCACCTGCCCCACCTGCTCCACCTGCTCCTGCTCCTGCTCCTGCTGCTCCTGCTTAGAGGGTTTAGGGTATTGGGCCTATTGGGTTCAGGGTTTAGGGTTTAGAGGTTTTGCGTTTAGGGTTCGAGGGTTTCGGGATCAGCATGCTGCGCAGGCTTGGAGCGCATGTAAGCCGTAGGCACTCCAAACAAGTTCAAGGGTCAAGAGGCTTTTGCAAAGGAGGCAAGAGCGAAATGGAGTGATGAAGGGACTCATTAGGAACGCAATAAAGAGACCTTAATTAGGGCTGAGGGATTTAGGGGTTCAGGGTTTAGGGTTAAGGGCTCGGGGTGGGCTGGCTTTAGGGTAAGTTATACGGACTGTGAGTTCTCCGCCTGAAAGCGCCAGACCCCGAAACCTCCAGGCCCAAGGGCCCTCGCAAAAGCCGCAAAGCTAAACCCTAAACCCTAAACCCTAAACCCTAAACACTATATCAAGCCGTAAACCAGACCTAGAAGGAAGCCTTAAAGGAACCCCTAAAGCCTTTGAGGGAACCTAGAAGGAAGCCTTAGAGGAACCGTTAAAGCCTTAGAGGGAACCCTCCTCCGAAACACAGAAGAGATCCAACCAGCCAGGGCGACTGAAGAGTGAAGTGAACCTGGAAATCGGCTTCCGATTCGTGTTTTGAACTTTGGGCCAGGGCTTGGGCGTGGAGGCTTGGGCGTGGAAGGAGATTTGTGGTTGAGGTGCATGACCGGAATCCCTGACCCTCGAACCTTCCCCGCAGAGGTATGGCCACAACCACTCTGCAATAGGCTAAGACAACACGTGGTCTGGAACGCGAGACTGTTCTCCACAAGAATCCCAAGTCCGAAACCACATGCACCACAGCAACCCTTGTAGAAACCCAAACACAAACACGGCACCCTTATATGTAACCCTTTAGGTACCCTACTGGGTACCCGTAAAGGAAGAAGCCAGGGACCCAGCTGCCGGACGCCGTCGGTGGGCATTGCGGCTGCGCGAGCGCGAGGAAAAGCAGCGCGCAGCGAAAATCCCGAGCCGAGCTACGCCTCAAGAGTGGTCTACGGAGATGAAGTTGGGGGTTCGGGGTTTAGGGAGTTGGGGGGTTAAACGGTGTGGAGCCTGATAGGAATCTGCAGAATCTTAACTTTGTCCCTCCATTTCTGAAACTTTCATCTGAGGCATTCCGGTCCAGTCTAAGACCTGGGATTTCAAGGCAGAACAGAATATACCTCGGTAGTGTTCATACGATACTTCAGTATGATGAAATTTGATATATATATATATAGAGTATTCCCACGAAGCCTTATAATATCCACCTTGTATACCCTTAAAACACTATGATATGATATGGTATGATGTGATATGATATGATATGACATGTCATGAGATTATACGATCTGATGTGACTTGTTATGACTTGAACTCACCTCATCTGACCTGAATGACATGATATGATATGATATGATATGATATGATATGATATGATATGATATGATGTGATATGATATGATATGATATGAAATTAACTGGTATGGTACGATATGATACCAGTACGATATGATGTGACATGATGTGTCAAGAATAGACAATGTAATAGTAGGATATGAAAAATTCAACAATACGATATGATATGCTATGATGTGGTGTAGAGAGCTTGCAAGGTGTTGCGGAGGGGTTTTTAGGGCTTACATCCTGAAATTGAAATATTTGGACGTTGACACTATGAAGGAGAAGGTGCTCATATTCATCATGGCATGCAGTCTGAATCGGAGTCATCAATGCGTCCAACCAAACCTCTGCTTCTTAACAGGGTCTCGGGTCAGAGTCAAGAAGATACCAGCACACACCAGGCAAAAGCGTGAAAGACCTTGACCTCAAGAACTCGACATCCCTATGACCTGCGGGTAGTTCTGTGAGATAGAGTGGCTTTTTGGATCCCCGAAATAGTACGGCACTCCTACGCAAAGGCCTCCAAAAGGGACCCTAATTTAGAGAGCTACCCATGTACAAACCACCGCATTGCTAATGGTACTCATGCTGCGGGACTACTAGCACTACCACGAGGAACGATAGCAACATCTAGCCATGACCATCATCGCAAACTCACGTCAGCAATGATTCTTAGGAGCAACATACAACATATTGGGCGTGGAAGGGTTCCGAACTTGCCGGGTGCCTTACTCACGGATCCTTGCACTACTAGAATCTTCCGGATTTGGGAAGACGCTGAGGCCCAGGCGGAACAACTGCCCTCAAGGCTTCGCCGTGACAGCGTCCAAACCCGGCTCAGTAACGGACCCGAAGCTCTGAAAACTTTTGATTACAACACATAAGAACCTGATGATAAATTTGTTCGTCGTCGAAATTGTGGTGGTTTGTGAAAGCACATCACAACAGACACGAACAAGCACAAGATCAGATTCTGCAGTGCATATGGCTGCAGACAGAGAAAGAGAGAGAGCTTTTGTTTTCAGGAATCCGAGACTCTGATGCACCGCCGCCATGACATGCCAACTGATAACTGCCTTCGTGTTAGTCCTGCTCTGCGGCAGCTTTGTTTCTCATGCATCACAAATGTATACCAACACTGCACAAGCTGGTGTAGCTGCCTGAGTTTGCGCGGTCAATTGGAATTTTAACAATCCCACATCGCATGAATGCTTCTCATGACTTTTCTAAACAAGGTGTTCCCTAACATCCAGCATTGGTATATCCGACCAAGCAGCGTTGGAAGAGTGATGCGGGCGCATGCAGTTTTGATTGAGTCTAGCCCACTTGTGCCCAAACTTCAACCTCTCGTGCACTGCAATTGCAGCGCGTGGCCGGCTACAAATTCCCACTTGCGGCGATTCGGAAACAAAGAAAATCCATACAAAGGGAAGCGGGTGAACTGCACCATCGACAAGCAATCCATACTCCATCATCCCCTTCAACCGCATGACTACATGTCCAGTCGTTCTCCGGAATCTTGTTTTGGAAAGTGCGCGGCCGGCAAGAATGCCTTTTCACACGGGGACACAAATCGGCAAAGGCACCGGCCTTCACTTTACCAAGCTGGGCAAAGTCTCGAAGGCACACAATTGAAGGATTGTGTGCCCACATCACACGGCAATTCTCGAGTAGGTCTCATCCGAGACAAAATGGACGATCCTCGAAAGTCTATGTCGAAACATCTTTCTTCCGAGGGTCGGCTCCTTTGGGCCGCCACCGACTCCATAGTTTTTATAACCAAAACGCTTCATGTTCCAATCATTGTGATCTTCATTGAAAAGTATCTCCCACATCTTCAAACATATATGTAATGTATAAACAAAATGGAGCCTGCTAGAGAGCTTAGGAAGTGCCTCGTGCGAAATCGTGAAAGCTTACATCGCAGCGGACCAATCTTTTTCTTCTGAAGTGGCAAAACCTCTCGGGGTAAATGACGAAACATAGATCCCCTTCGGGATCTATTTTTGACCCTTCGGTCAATCGCCCCTTCGGGCACAAGACGGGCACCTTCGCCCCACTTCACCTACGCCCCGTCTGTAACAAAGCTTTGCCACTGATGAAACACTGAAGGTCATCTTGATGAAACGATCCGAAGACAGGAAACCTCCATTCCGATCTCGATGGGCCATCGCCCGGATTTGATTTGCTCGGTACCCGAGCGAACCACGGGATCGTCGGGCACTCAGCATCGAAGTGCTCGTAGTGGAGAAGGAGGCTGCGCCAAACATCGTCACGCGAAGATCCTTTTATCATCGCCGACAAGACTCCACTATGATCAACGAAGAAAATGGCCCGCTCGTTGTCCAAGAACCTCTTCCAAACTCCACGAGCAGCAACTACAGCGTAAAGTTCCGTGGGTCCGATGAGGTGCCGCTTACCAGCCCCAGCCCATGTGGACACCACAGCTTCATCAAGGTAGCAGCCGAACGCCCTCCTCTCGTAAGCTCCACTTGGAAGGACACGATAAAGCACTCCACCGATCGCACAGCTGAAGCCATTGTCATTCTTGTCGCATGCGCCATCTGTGAACACATAAGTTCTGCCGCCCCCCAGACGAATGGGAATCTCGCGAGGTCGGCCACTGAGCATCCGGGCACGAAGATTCTCGAAGGCCGAGATTTCCAAAGGAGTGAGAACATGCCTGTGACGCGCTTCGGCGAGCCTTCTGATCTGAGCAAGTGCCAGTCTGCCTTGGCGACCCATAAGCTGAGATTCAGAAAACTGTATGCGCCCGAAAAGCGAAGGTATCTGGCGTGGATCAATGCAACCATATTCTCGAGCACCCGCTGGATCGAAGATGCGATGTCACGAGCTCGTTCTCGCTTGTTCATGACCCTGACGACGCCGCGAGACACATCCGAAGCATCCAAAGTCACTCCCAAAACATCTGCCTGCTGGGCAAACGGCAAGTCCTTGTCATCCGCCCAGTCGACTCCGAAAAGATGCAAAGCCGCCTTAACAGAAGCGTCATGATTGCTCGCCAGGGCCCTGACCTCTGCAGCCGGGAAATCGTCGAAGTAACTCGATGCTGCAAGATTGAGTTCCCAAAGAATCCTTTGCCAAAGTCGAGAAAAACGATTGAACTGCCCAACAGAAGCAAGAGCTCCAAAGGGGAGCACGCGGCAGACGAAGCCCTTGGCCTTGCCGTCAGCTGGATCTTTAAGCGTAACCGGCGTAACCACGCACACCCGCTGCTGCCGAGGGCATATTGCAAACTGCTTGTGAGCGGCACGCAAGTCAGTCGTCTTGACCACCGGCTCACACCTGGTCCTGTCCTGTGCCCAATATGCATGCAGCGGGCCCGAAACCGTAGAACCATCGGACTTCCTGAAAAAGATCTCGCCCTTCGAGATGCATGCCCTCATGATGGCCATGCACGCCCAAGTGAGCTCGTCAAGCGCCCTGAGGCTTATCCTTTCCATCACGGACCAGGCCTGGTTAACAGCATTGACTTGACTGCGCAGCGTCCTGAGGTCGCCTGGCGGATATCGGTCTCAGTTTGCCTTTCTGGCGGATAGAAAAGCGACGAACCGGTACCCATTCAGAGCCGAACATCTGCTGAAGCTGATCCCAGTCATAAGGTCCATGAAGCCACCCCCGATCACCTGCCTCGGAGCACGTGATGTCCCAAAGTTCTTGATCATCCTCTCGAGCCTTGGCCCCTGAAACTTTTCCCCACAAAGCAGGTCTGACAAATTTCGCATGGTCAAGCAGCTCCGCTATTGTCATCGCCGCAGGCTTCGGGTCCAACTCGAAGATCCCTGTGACCTTGGCCTCACCAACGAGTGCGAATCCACCTTCGATGTCGTCGACGATGGTGGAGTCGGACCACCCCAAGTCCTCAGCCACCCGCCTCAGCAGAGACAGGTTCTTCTTCGCGGCGATTCTCTCAACATCCGGGTGAAGCCTGGAGTGGAGCAACCGCTCCGCATCACGAAGTTCCTCAGACCACTTTCTCCACTTTGTCAGAGTATCAAGCCTGTGTCTCATCACTGCAAGCGGGCCCTTGATAAGGGTGAAACCCAGGATATCAAGGATCTCGTCAGGGACAGAGGATGCAAGATCGAAGGGGTGAGGCAGAGTCAAAGAGGTGCGGACGAACTCCTCCTCAGTCCTGTGAACCCCAAAAGTCACCCGGAAACCCGCATCCGAAAGACCCTTACCCCCTGCAATCGGTAGAACCTGCAGGATGCGGGACCCCACAGGAACGGACTTGAAAGGCCGCGTAAGGGATTGCTTGGCGTCGGCGCACAGATCGGCCAAGGACTCAACCTGCAGGGTAACACGGTGCTTGTATTCAGGAATGATAGTCGGAAACTTGGAAGTTTTGGGTTGCTTATGGACAGCAACTGCAGACTTGTGGTGCGCTTGCGCCGGAGCAGACTCAGAGGAGACAACAAAGCCAGCCGAGCCGGCTTCACAAGTGACATGCGCAGCGATCCGATCACACAACAACTTAGGCATGCTATGAAGCACAGCAGCTGTTGGCTTCGCACGAGAATGCGAATGCTGGCCATCACATACAGCCGCCAGAGACCTCAGGCCATGAACAGTCGTGCGAAGGGATACCTTAGTGGGCCGGTCACTGCCATGAGCACACATGTCGAAGTCAACTTGCGAGGCCTGCGGCAAGTTCAGGCGGCCACGACTGGCTGTCAGTGGGGTTTGTGACGCACCACGAAATGTCTAGTTATGAGCAAAGGCAATGAAAGAACTCAAGTGCTCGAAGATGGTCTTAAAGTCGGGCTGGAGCTCGCCAGCTACTGGAACAGGCGGGTAAGCATGAAGGAAAATGACTCTTCTAGCCAAAACAACCCGAACCAAGAAATCCCAAGAAGAAGACTTTCGAAGATCAAGAGAGATTACGCTCGCAAGCGAGCGTTGCTTCAAGTGGCTGCTCGATAGCAAGAACTTCAAAGTCGGCTCGCTTCAAAGAGGCAGAAACTTCAGCAACCCCACAAAAGAGGTTATGCACAGCAGCGCCGCAGCCTGAAGAGGGACAGGCACACTTGCGACGGTTTCTGGATCAACCTCGGTCGGTCTCAATCTCGAAAGGATGCCTTAACTTCAATGAGGTGCAGACTAAAGACAGGCACAACTTGCGGCGACACAAAGCCAAGATCGGTCAAACGTTTGACAACGTCGGCTTCAAGTAAATCGACACCGGCTATGCAAAAGCGACAATGATTGCCTTTCGCCCAACCCAATCCATGGTGGCATACATGTGGGTTCCGTGGGCACCCACACCTCTCCTTTTTCAAAATTGCTCAAAGGCACAAGGTTACGTTCGGGAAAGTTGTACGTCGATCAACATGTGGCTCAGTCTTCAGATCTGCAAAACACTGAAACTTGTGAAATGGAAGCTGGAGACAGCACGCTGCACTGCCTCAGCGAAGACACTGGAAGCCTCTAGATGTCTTTGACAATTGTTTCGGACCCCTAAGAGAGCTTTGGCACGCCCCAAAAATGCTTTGGCTCTTCTGCTGTGACTTTCTAGGAACATGCTCATTAGAAAAGTAAATCAAAAAGTCGAATCAACTCCTGTGCCGTGGGCTCGTCCCATGGATAAAAGCTCGGATGCATAAGAATCGGCATGCATCTGGCCTTCGTCCGCTTTGGTCCAACCCCTTCGGACGGCTCTGACCTCGGCCACATCGGCCGACTGTCCGATCTCCGGCTCAATAGTCAAGCGCGGGCCTGCTCGCCATCCTTCGGCTTCTTGGGACACTTAACTGCCGCATGATTCAGGCCACGGCACTGCACAAATGTGCAGGCCGCGCTATATAACACTTGTCGTCCGTAACTTTGTTAGGGCAGGATTCCAAGTTGAATGCACAACAAATCGGGTGACTCTTGGCAGTATGCGAGTCACATTTCCCGAATTCACTCGCATGGCAATGAACTGCTTCTTTTTGCCGTCCTTGCTCTTGTCTCGGCTGTATGGCATGTCTCAGGAACGGTCTGGCTCAGTAGAACGTGTTTCTGTTTGGTGTTCATCCAAAAAAGAGACCAAACACCAATCTGGTGGCTCCCAAGGCCCAATCTAACCCAGAGACCATTTTTGAGCTCCAAGTGAAGACGGAAGTGAAAGCATCTTTGTATGGTCTTCTTTCAAAATGATAGCAAAGCGCAAGTCCGATAAATGACCTGTGGGAAAGGCCCATGGAAGAGTGCTGCCAGCTGTGCATGCAGCTCCCGCGCTTAAACAAACACGAGGATGGGAACACAGGCTTCGTCACAGTGTGACGGATGCCCAAGCAGAGCCACGTGACCACGAGGCAAGGTCCTCCCGAGCCCTTCTGTCTGCGACTTGCGTCCAGCACCGACGGTGGAACACCCCTGCCTGTGCCCGATGAACCGGAGA